ATAAACTTAATTAGTTTTAAAAAGACAGGCAGAGGGTAGGGTGGCTGGAGGCATAGCTCCGTGCAAAGGTGCTGGGTTCAGTATCTCATACAGAAAAAGAAAAAGTAAGTCAAACCATGGACAAGATTTTACACAAAGTTGTATACAAGTGGACTATTATACTAAGTAATAACTAACAACTTAAATGCTCCAAGTTTAAAGTTTGGTAAATATAGCTAAATTACTTTTTTCTAAGATAGTTTTCCATTTCACCTAGTAGGATTACACACACACACACACACACACACACACACAGGTAAAATCTAAATAAGCTCTACGATTGAGTTAATTCAATCTCACCACTTGTGAAGACTGATATGACAATCAGGACAGAACTGTACTGACTGTCACACAGATTTGCCTCTGGCTTCATTTTCACTCTAACGAACATTCCCATTTCCTCACTTCCTCCTTTACCCCTGGAAACCACCTATCTCTTCTCCAGAGCTGTCATTTTATCATTTCAACAATGTCACACAAATCAGGGTGATGGCACATTCCCAGAATCCCAGCTGCACAGAAGGCTGAGGCAGGAGGATTGAGAATTTGAGGCCAGCCTTGGCAACATAATGAGAAGTCTCAAAACAAAAGAAAAAAGGATGGGGGATATAAGTCAGTGAGTGGTAAGTGCTTGCCTAGCATATGTGAGACCCTGGTTTCAATTCTCAGTACCAAAGGAAAAAAGTGTTTAAAGAAATACTGTATAAATAGAATCATACTGTATGTAGTTTTTTGAGCTTTTTTTTTTTTCATTTAACACAGGACCTCTGAGGTCCGTCCACATTGTTATATATGTCAATAGTTCATTTTTTATTGCTGAATAGACTCCCACGGCAGAGATATATCATAATCCTATTTTATCCATGGTATACTTTCCCTAGCTTCGGTTCCTGATTATTCACCACAGCCCCCAAATTATTCAGTGGAAAATTCCAGAAATGAACGATTCGTGACTTTTAAATGGCATGCAGTTCTGAGTAACTCGATGAGATTTCACACCATTCCCACCACCCCGCTCTATTCCCCATGAATCATCTCTCTGTCCAGTGTCAGTCCACTGCGTGCACTGCCCACTCCTTAGTCCATGGCTGCCTTATCTAGCACATACACAGGGCCACCTCACCGTGTCAGGCATCCATTGGATGTCTCTCCAGGGGGAAGAAAGAACCATTTATCACACCTTGCTAGACAAGTCACCCTTTGAAGGACATTTGGTTGACCCCAATTTTAAGCTCCTGTGCAAGAAACTGCAATGCAAAGGTTTCTGTGTAAGTATGAATTTTTATTTCTGTAGAATAAATGTCCAATGTATAATTGCTAAGTTGTGAGGCAGTTGCATGTTTGGTTCTGTAAGAAGCTGCCAATCTGGGGCTGGGGATTTAGCTCAGCGGCATAAGCGCCTGCCTTGCAAGCAGGCAGTCATGAGTTCAATCCCCGGTACCGATAAAAAGGAAAAAGACAAAAAAAAAAAAAAAAAAAAAAAAAAAGAAGCTGCCAATCTGCTCTCCCGGCTGACTGGACTGTATTACATTGCTACCACCAATCTACAGTGATGGGTTTTCTGGGAGTCTTCCCCAGCAACTGATGATGTCATCATTTTCATTGCAGGCATTTTGATAGGTAGGCAGTGGCATCTCAGTGTGGTTTAACTTGTGCTGCCTCCATAGTTAACAGTATGAGTGTCTTTTCATATGGTCTTCGTTTTTTCATAGTTGACATCAGTGTGTGTTTTTTAGAAAAATCTACTCTTGTCTATGTTCTAAACTGGATTGCTTTTCACTGGTGAGCTCTGAGAGTTATTTACAAGTCTATTCAGACTTTCCTCACTAGGTACTTATGTTTGTGGTAGTTTTGAGGCAGGACTCATCAAAATTAGAAATTTCCCACTTATACCTATGTTGCAAACTTTTTAGCAAGAATGGATACTGAATCTTATTAAATGTGTTTTCTTCTTCAGTTGATATGATCCGATTCCTCTACTTGAGCCTGTTGTATGGTAAATTTCATTTACTGACTTTTAAAACCTGAAAGAGATTTGCATATCTGGAGTAAACCCCCACTGGCCATATTGCACGGTTCCTTTTACTTATTGCTCAATATGAATGGCTAATATTTGCTGAAGATTTTTTTCTAAGTTCTTTTTTTTTTAATTTTTTATTTTTGAAGCACAGTCTTACTATGTAGCCCAGGCTAGCCTCGAACTCATAGCCATCCTCCTGTTTCAGCCTCCTAAGTGCTAGGATTCCGGGCATTTGCCACGATCACTAGCTGATGTTCCTGTTTTGGAGAGTTATATGTATATGTATATATATATGTATATGTATATATATAGTATATTTATATACATATACATTGTATATATGCTATCTCTCTAGTTTTGATATTACAGGAAAACTCTGTGTAAAATAATTTAAGAGTATTTTCTCTTCTATTTTCAGAACAACTATTGTGTAAAATTTATTCTCATTCTTCTTTAAATGTTTGGCAGAATTCTCCAGTGAAGTCATTGCCCCCGGAGAGCATTTGAAAGGTGTTTTAAAACCCAAATTTAGTTTCTATACTAATCCCAGAACTGTGTAGGTTTTCTATTACATCTTGAGTAAGTTTTGGAAGTTCGTGCTTTTCAAGAAAACTACTCATTTCTTGTACACTGTTGAATTTATAACCATTGTGCTTTTGTAGGATTTTCTTATTATCCTTTTAATGACTTCAGAATACATGTGATGTTTCCTGTGACATTTCTAATAATCCTAATTTGCATATTCTTTTTATCTTTGTTAATTTTGATAAAGGATTATCAACTTTACTGACTTCAGGAATCAGCTTATTAGTTCACTGATTTTGTTTTCATATTCATGAATTTCTTTTTGTTGTTGAGATATAATTCACATATCATAAAATTCACCCTTGTAAATGGTATATAGTTCATTAGTTTTTAGAATATTCACAAAGTGAACACGTATTGCCACTAATTTCAGAACATTTTTATCAATTCTAAAAGCAATATTCTATACCCAGCCCTCTCCCAGCCCTTGGCAACAAATAATGTACTTTTGTCTCTGCGGATTCTATTCTGGACATTTCGTGTAAATGGAGTTATACAATGTGTGGGGTTGGTTTCATCTAGTACGCTACTCTCATCATGGTGCCATAGTCTAATAGTGTGACACAAACCAGTGCCTCATTGCTGGCTAGTAGCCCAGTGTATTTTGCTGTAGTTTGGATCTGGAATATCCATGTGTTAAAGGGCTGATCACCAGCTTGAGGTGCTACTGGGTGAGCAGAAACGTTAAAAGGCGGGGCCTCCTGGGAGGTCTTCTGGTCATCGGGAGCATGTCCTCAAAAGAGATTTGAAAGGTATTTTCTCTCTATCTCTCTCAGTTTCAGTCTGTCTCTCTCTGTATCTCTCTTCTCTCACTGTCTCTCCCTGTCTGTCTCTCTCTCCATTTTGCTGCATATTAGGCTGGAGACATAACTTGGTAGTAGACTGTGTGCCTAACATATGCAAAGCCCTAGGTTCAGTTTCCAGCACTGAAAACAAACAAACTTCCGGAACTCACAGCTCCAGGTCAGATAAAGACAGCCCTGCAGGGAACCACCACACAGGTCATGTAATGACGGCTCTCTGTGAATGAAATGGGGAGGAGTTCCATCCTTCCAATCCTCCTTTCCTCCCGCGACCCCCGCACTGTCTACCAGGCTGATGGTTTTCCCCTTGTCAATGGGCAACTGGTTTTCAATGCTACTATACAACCTGGGCGGGGGAGATGGAAATATGGCAAGGTAAAAATACCAAAACCCTACTGTTCTTAGTCAAATTAAGCCTTTTTTGTTTTGAGGTTGGTTTGTTTGGTTGGTTGGCTTTAGTTTTGCATAAACAACTTTGGGTTGCTGAAAGCCTTTGGTTAATTTCCAGAGTTCTGAAGAATGTTGGTTCTTAAAAGCTTGCCACTTTCTCATTGCTTTTATTGATCTATTTGTTTATGTGGTACCAGGAATCAACCTCAGGACCTTGAGCTTGCTGTGCCGCTAAGCTACCCTGGACCTCACTGCTTTTAAACTCCAAGTAGGGACTTTGGCAGATCCCTGCTCTGCCACTTTTCACTGCCGTTACTTAACTTCATTAATTTCTAATCCTATTATTACTCCTTTTAGTAGCATTGTTTTAGATGCGTTCAAGGGAAACTGATATGCCCTAATTTATTTGCATTCAGTTATACACATTTTTTTCCTCTGAGACTCCCTCTTTAACCCATAGATAATTTAGAATTTTGTTGTTTGCTATCCAAGTGTTCAGACTTTTCCTGTTGACTTTCTACTATTGATTCCTCTCTTGATTCCACTGCCTTCCAGGAGCTTACTGTGTATATGGCTTGAAGCCTCTTAAATGTTTTACAGTTTGAAGCAGGTTGCAGGATGTTTTGTTTCATTTTTGTGATCCCAGCAAAAAACACTGAACCCAGAAGCCTTGTCCATGCTAGGCACGTGTCCCAAGTATGCATGGTCTATCTTTGGGAATGCTTGGTGGGCACTGAAAAAAGAGTACCTTCCTGTAGCTTGGTCAAGTGCTTGTTAAATGTCAATTAGATTTAACTGAATGGTGGTACTGTTTAGATACTCTGTATCTTTAATGATTTTTCTGTTGGGTAGTTCTGTCAGTTGCTAGGAGAGGGATATGGAGTTCTTCAGTACTTTTGGATCCACCTGTAATAGTCATCTACCTACCAACACACACACACACACACACACACACACACACACACACACGTTATGTAACACCAAAATCCACTATTACGACATTACCTTAAGTAAGGTATAGACCCATTTCTACCTATTCTTTTAAAAAATATAATCCTTTGGTGCTTCCTATGTATACATTAGGCACCACAGAAGAAACTGTTATGATTTTTTGCACCAATGATAAAATATGATTTAACAAACCCCATGAGAAATAAGGGTCAGTTTTATTTACTGCATCACATTTTGGAAATGTTTTAAATCCACTTCGTCACCCTTTCCCTTCTGTGGTTCTAAGCCTTCTTCTGCTATCTTTTCCTTGAAAATGTCCTCCAGCCATCCTTTACAGTGATATCTACAAGCAACACAGGTTTCTTCATTTTTCTTCACCTAAAACATTTATTACCCCTTTATTTTTGAAGAATAATTTTCTCAGACGTAGAATTCGTGGTTGACAGTCCTTTTTTCACCAGCATGAGCTCCTACCTGGCAGGTGGGAGGTCATGAGTTCCATCCCTGTACAAAAAAAAACAACCCTAAATTATATAAAAAGTTATTACAGTAAAAGAAACATTGCCATCAATCGCCCTGGACATGTTTCCCTTCACTTCAAACACACTCGTTCCATTGTTTTTGCCACTCTCCGAAGCAGTTTTGGAAGTACTCTTTCGTAAGAGTCTAGTTGCACTGCCTTGATTTCTGGAATCAGTTCAGAACTCTAACCTTTTATGGTCTTTTTTTACTGTGGTGAAGAGCCGGAAGTCACAGGGTGTCATATCGTAAGTAAGGTGGATGAGGAGCCCCCGTAATGCTTTTGCAAGCCTGCCTTTCTGTTGAACAGTCCTGAGAAGCAGCTTTCCCCATATTCTTTTTCCATCACATTTTGCAAAGATACTCACAAAAGATGCTTGAAAAAGAGGCAAGAACAATGAAATAAATGTGTCTGGAGTAAGGAGGAATAGCTGAGGGGATTCGTGGCAACATGCCTTTTACTGTAATAAAACTTTTTGTTTAAACACAGGATATTTGATCTCACCTCATATTCCCCCACTTTCTTTTAGACCACTAGGTTCTCCATGAAAAAAATTGCTATTATTTAAATTGCTTACTTCATATAAATAATGTGTCATTTCTTTCTAGATTTTTCAGATCTTTTATTCCTCTTTTGTTTTCAGAAATTTGACTATGATATGTCTTGATATGAATTTCTTATCCTGTTTGGAATTCTCTAAGTTTCTTGGATACCTTGTTTTCATTTTTCTGTCAAAATTAGGAAAATTTTTGTCATTATTCCTTCCAATATGTCCATCTCTTCCTCTAGAACTCCAGGAATAGGAATGATAGATTCTTTTCACCATATTCTCTTAAGTGTCTGTACTTTTTCTTTTCAGTGTGTTGCCTCTATGTGGTCAGATTGGATGATTTATATTGGTCTGCCATTGATCTTATTGACTAATTTCTGTGTCACATTTTCCTGATGCCCATTTGATGATTTTTTTCTTTCTTTCTTCTTTTCTTTTTTCTTTGGCTTGTTGTATTTTCCATTCTGTAATTTAATTTTCCTTTGGCTCTTTTTTCATTATCTCCTTTTCTAAGATGATCAACTTTTTCATGTTCTTCAAAATATTCATAATTGCTTATTGACGTATTTTAATGGTGAGTGCTTTAGAGTTCTTATCAGCTAATTTCAACATCTGAGTCATCTCAGTATTAGCATCTGTGGATTATTTATTTGGCTCTGATTGTGATTTTCTGGATTGCTGGCATGTTTTTCAGGTGTTGCCTGAATAGCTTTATTATTATGTTATAAATCTCTGGATCCTGCCTAATCTTTTTTTCAGCTAGTAATTCATTAGTTTTAGATGCAGCATGATAGGCCAAAGTGTAGGTGAGTATTCAGTTCCTTCATAGAACCTGATGACGCACCCTGACAAAGTTACCCAGGGGTTCACTGCCTGTGAGGGGGTAGAAGTCCAGTTCCAGTTCACACTGCCTCATTGTCTCCAAATGTGATAAAAGCTCAGCTTCCTGCCAGGCCCAGCTGACACAGGGTCAAAGGCACACAGACGGCTGAGCAGCCAGCGTCTCCTTCATTTCCTGGGTGGCAGGTGGGGGTGGGTGCTCAGGATGCTGCCAAAGCAGGAAAATTGGAAAACTGCCTGCTCCTGAGGCTGGCAGATGGGACATTAGTTCCCTGTTTGGCCCTGCCAACACCGCTGGGTGGGCAAATTAGAGCTCCACTCCTCCCTTCTTGGATTTTGCAAAAGATAAAAGATTAGCTTCCTGTTGGGCCTAAGAATGTTTGCCCATTGGTGTTTTGCTGCAATATTGTAACCCCCCCGCCAAAACAAGGCCCCATGATGAAAAATGGGGCAAGACGATATAGTTTTTAAAAGAAGTGCTTTTATTTTAGCTGGCCCAGTGACACAGTGCAGATGGAAAGCTGGGCAACTGAGTTAGAATTTTGACTGATTTTTATATTTCATTTATGATTAGCTCATTGATCATTAACATAATGATGAGAAACAGAAACAAGGTGGGCCTTTGTTCCCCTTTGCTTGAGGTCAGAGGCATTTCACAGTGAGTGGTTAGCCAATTCATAGCCCTTGGTCTGCCAGTTCCAGGAACATTTGTCTCTCATAAATGGAACAATGGTTGACACAGCATCATTTGTCTCTGACAAGGGGAACAAAAGTTGACACAGCAAACAGGTTACTAAGGTGATGACGCATACAGAACAGTATGGTCTCAGTTAATCTATAACTAATTTATAACAATGTGGTCAGTGCTCCAGGTACATGGTTACTAGGGCAATAAGCATAGAGCATGATACCAGTAGGGCAGATATTGTGTTGTTTTATGTCTCTCTTTTCCTGGTGCTTTGCTCCAGGGTAACAGGCTTTCCTCGAGGCCTTCCTTTTCCCTTTACAATGCTTGTTGGTGGTACAAGGTCTCAGGCTTTATCAGCACTCCACGTCAGATAGATGGGGGGCACAAAGGGCACCCTGGGGCTCACCAGCACGCTGCTTCTCACGTGTCCAAATCCTCAATCACTCTGGCTTCTTCTTTCCACATTTCAGAATCTTCCTGTTTGTTCCTTGTTTTATGTCTAGCAGTTTTCATTGTAAAAGGGAACACCTGGGTGGAGCGCAGCTCCATCTAGGCTAGAACCAAGAATCCTAAAATTATTTTTTCTAAGATTTATGAAGATGTGGGAAATGCACAATGGTAAATATAACAGAAAGAGGAGACATATGTGTATTACATAATCTCACCACGTAATGTATTTCAGAACTGAATGGAAATACACCACACTGGTGATAGTGTTTATGATTGCCTTGTTAGACTGGGCAAACCTTTAATTACCTTCGTGTGTTTATCTTTATTGCAGTTGTTTCACAGAGTAGAGAAAGTAACTTTTATAATACAAAGACATGATCACGTGAATGCCCATTCATACACTATGCTATAATCTATTTTTTTTTTCTATTGGCCCTAGATTTGCCCCTTGGAAATATACACAGCATAACCACTTTCCCCTGAGACCTCATAAAACCCAGAGATAAATCTAAATTCATTTAGAATAAATACAGATGAGCCTTTCCTTCAGATTTCCTCTCACATCTCACCTTCAGTTTCTTCTTACCAATATTCTAGTATTTCTAACTTCAAGGCATTCTTCTACAAAGACAAAGGGAAGGAAAGCTAGAAGTCAGACCATGGTTCTTGCTCCTCTCCCCAGACTAAGTTAGACCAATCTCATTTGCATGAGACACACCTGCTCACTTCTGGGGGTGCTTCACAACTGGGGCTGCTGTTGTAGGTTTTATTTTCACACCAAGAAGGATAAATTTATTGAGTTCCTGTCTCATTCTTCTATGTACCCACGATACCTGAGATTATACCTGGCATGGGGAAAGCATTCTATAAATATCAAGTTGTAAATTTAAGTCTTTTGTAAGAAAATGGATACAACTTGAAACCACAATATTAAGTGAAATCATGCTTAACTATAGCATGGTTCCTCTTATATGAGAAATCCCAAATATAAACAAATTAAAGGGCAAGATAAAAGATAAGTAACAGGAAACACAAAGATAGATCTTTTGGGGGAAGGGATTAAGTCATGGAGGGAAAGAAGGACGAGGATGAAAAAGATTTAAGATGTGTTATATACATGTACCAAGTTCCCATGATGAACTGAATCATTACGTACAGCAAATGTGTGCTCATTAAAATTAAAATTATGAAAATAAACAAACACCAAGTTGGATGGGTGAACAGATGAATGGTTGGGTAGAAGGAATAGACACTTGTTGGGTGAATGGATGGATGGATGGATGGATGGATGGATGGACAGATGGATGGATGGAATAGTTAAGTGCTATCCTCACCCACTGCCACACTGCCTGATTCCTCCAACCTAACTGCTAACTCCTAGCCTTAACATTTCCCACAAGCCTCTGCGTGTCCACAGCTATGGTCCAGCGGAGGTTTAACTTATAAATCCTTTGAAATGTCATTTTTATGAGCCATGCTTTTAATCTTTTGTCCACTTCTGTAGTATATGGCAGGTAATGAGATTTTAAGAACAGATTTTTAAATAAATTGGTTGGAACATTTTAGTCATTTTCCTGGGACTGGTTGGCTAATTGGATCAAATAATTCATTTTTCTTGCCCAGCCAGACATCTCTCATTACAGTGAGGCATTTAGCTATGCACCAAGCATCCGTGCGGTAAGTGAGTGTCAAAGAGACTCACTTTTAAAGCTCCGAATCATTGGTCCATGGGCGGACCAGCAAAAGATCTTGACAACATCTGGGGAATAGACAGAACCCATCACAGGGAGGACCACATTCCGGAAAGACCCAAGTTTAGATTTTTACTTTACTTATTTAGTTATTTTTGAGACAGGGCTACAGTATGTATGCCAGATTGATCTTGAACTCGTAGTCCTCCTGCCTTGGTCTTCTGAGTGCTGGGATTACAGAACTATGCCACCCTGCCTGGCCCTAGACTTTGATATTATTGCCAAATGAGATTCTCAACACTGTCACAGAATACTAGAAATACTAGATTGTATTTCCTTATTTCAAAAACACCAGTCTTTTCAAGAGAACTGTTTAAAATTTTGGAATTTCATCTTTTGTTCTAAGACATCAAAACATAGGAGGGCCTGGGAGCAAATCTTGATCTTGGCAGCTGCCAGAATCAGAACCAATACTCCTCAAGACACTGTTCACAGTGGCTTAGAGTAGTATGTCCCCTGACCACAGTGTCCCCTCCTGGACCGCTGAGCAAGCAGAACAGAGCTGGAAGGCAGTGGTGAGGGTCACGTCAGAGAAGATAGAATTAAACTGCACACGCTCCTTTGACTCCATACTCTCCCCAAGGGGTATCCTTTGGCTTTACAAGAACTCTAAGACATAGACAAATAGAGTTATCTTGGTCTCCTGTCATTAGGCAATCTCTTTCTGTAAAGGTCTGTAGTAGTACTGAGATCATCATGTGAACACAAACACAAAAGTCTTCCTCTCCACACACAATTTCCATACTCCAGACCAAACTGCAGTATCCAAGCTTGCATGAAACAGAGGCAATTCTTAGCTCTGTAAAAAATAGGTTTTTCTGAAAGATACAAACTATATAATAGCATTACCTCAGAATGCTGCATTTTCCGATCTTACTTGTATATAGACTTTTCTTTGGTGTTTTATTGAAATTGACCTTTGAGAGATGACTAAGCCTAGGAAACTTAATCTAGATAAAGATAAACAAGATAATTGTTCCTCTGTCAGAGAAAGCAACCTACAGTGGTTTTTGCAATGATGGTCTTTGCTCTTAAGAGTCAATAAAATATTCAGATTTTTCCCAATATGTTTGCAATCTGGGGTACCACTTTACAATCTTTCCTTCCTACATTTAGTACCTTTACAATAATTTTTCAGGTCTTCTTTTCTGTCTTTATAAGCTGTCCTAAAACCTACAGTGGAAGCTACTGCCAAGTGCTATCCAACAGAAAGGCTGGCTCATAAAAATACTAAGGTGTGTCCTCATCAACTTTAGTCACCAGATTTTGCACCATGCAACTTATTGCTCTTCCCAGAGTCAAAATGACTGTGAAAGGTAAACATTTTGAATTGATTCAGGACATCAAGGTATGATTTAGTCATCTGCCTGCCACTTAGCTCTCTTTTAAGCATTAGTCAGTTATCAATTTCCCCCTTCCAGCTCGCTGCCTGTTACTATCAACCCTTACAACACCTGTTCACCAAAAGGGCAGCATTTGCTGCCAGCACATTCCAGCAGGCACTTATTCCCATGTGCATTTGCTTATCAGATGATCTGTGCACAGGCCAATTTATCTTTCAAGGCAAGATGAGAGTTGAGTCTGCCCATGAAGCTTTACCAACTCTTAATCTCTCCTTTCCCCCATACAGTACCCCCATGGTTTGGCATCTGGCTTTGTGGACTCAGACTTACATACGCAAGAGCTCCTTCCTTGGAAAGACTGTGGCATCTTTGGTAGAGTCTTGAGCCCATTGCATTTCCCTCGAAACTCAGGACTGCAGGACACCGAGGTGTGGAGGTGGGGCATCAGATCCACCCGTACAGATGATCTCTGGGGTCCCCACAATCGTACAGCAAGAGGCACATGTCCAGAATCCAGGCAGCCTGTTAGTGCATGAAGTGTATAAGGTTTAAAAATCACTGAATATCAAAACTCAGGGTATCCTGTGTTAGCTAAAGAGCTGCATGAGTAGAAGCATATGGTCCATGAGTCAGACAGGCCTGGAGTCACCAGTCCTCTCAGCTAGTGTGACCGGCTGTGTTCCTGCCTTAGATTGTAGTAGTGTACCAAGAGCATGCAAAGGAGAGAAGCAAGCATATTTAGTAGTTTTGAAATAGTACCAGATGATAAAAAGCTAGAAGATTGGAAGATACTGTTGGGAATTTATAAATTAATCCCCTTTGATGACAACTGTTAGAATCTTTCTAAATCTTGACAGTGATAACACCTATAATATCTGAGCAAAGGTTTATCAAACAACCTTTTGTTAAGTCTTGCTGATTAAGTGGTTTGGGCAGGCGCTTCCTCCTCTCTTTCCTCCCTTCCAACCTTAACTACTGAAACACCAGACTACCATATTCTTTTCACATCAGGGCTTTAGTGCAGAATGAATGATCTCATACAGAATGCAAGGCCTCAGCCTCAGTGGGAACAACGTTCTCTCAGCTGTGCACTCAGCATCGGAAGGCAGCAAATATCATCTTGCAGTCTTGGGACTATGGGACTGCGGAAGTGTAAGACTGCTGCCCTTGTCCACATGAGATTACACAGGAAACAGTCCCAGCACACAGTGAAATATGTACTCTAAGAATTAATGATAGTAAAACAGTCTGCGAAAGTTAAAGTGTCCAGAGAGATGAAATGAAAAAATGAACAGGATTCAGACACAAAGAGAACGCTGGGGAAAACAAGGGAGCAGGAGGAATTTCAGAAATGAAAGATGCAGTCATTAAAATTTTAAAACTCAGAAGATAAGGCAGACGCAGGGAGGAAGAAGAGCAGTAGGGGTTTGGAAGATAGATCTGAGGAAACCTCACCAAAGCACAGAAGGAGAACAGAATTTATGAAAGTGAATTCAACATGAATGCAGAATCCAATATGAATCCGATACTTCAAAGGAGAGAATGAGGAAGGAGCAATATACCAAAATGAAAATGGCAAAGAATTTACCAGCATGGAAGGGCGAGTTTTCAGACTGAGAAAGTACACTGAGTTGTGAAAGGGTAAGTAAAAATAAACTCACCTAGTCCAGTCATAGTGAAACTGAGGTGTGCCAATTCAAAGAGAGAATATTAACGTCCCTACGAAAGGGAACCAAAGCAGGCTGACTGAGAAGCTACATCCTGTCTTGCCTGGTGGTCTGGAGATATTCAGGCTCTAGCCAGGAAAGGAACGAGAACTGAGAAGTGGCCAGTCATTGCCCAAGTGAAGGTAAAGTATCTGAGAGAGACCTGGGGGCCCAAAAGAAGTAATGGTTTCAACCAAACCACTGTGCAAGGATTCCTTTGAGTATCTATTGGTAATAGGGACTTGCACTCTCACCCATTCGTTTGCATGTGTGGGTGTGAGGGGGGTGGTGTCGCCCTCTTAGATTACTCTCTTGGTTACTTTTCTTTCATTGCTGGGACAAACTACCCAACACCCAACGTGAAGGAAAGGTTTATTTAGCTCACTGTCTGTGGAGGTTTCAGTACAAAATCAGCTGGCTCCAAAGTATGGTAGCATGGCACTGAGGCAACACTTCAATACAGCAGTCAGCAAAAGTAGCAGTAGCAGGACCTGGGGTTTAGCTCAGTGGCATAAGCACCTGCCTGGCAAGTGCTAGGTCGTGAGTTTGATCCCTGGTACCAAAAAAAAAAAAAAAAAAAAAAAAAAAAAAAAAAAAAAAATAGCAATAGCATAAAGCCAGGAAAACAAGCCTCTTCTCTCTTATATTGTAAGCAGGCTACTCCCATCTCCCTTGAGTGACTGTAGCATCCACTCCAGCTTGTGCCCTCCTCTTGTACAGGCTGAGGATGTTTACAAAGTAAGGACCCTGCCCCCTTGCTGAGCCTCTCAGTTAAACTTCTGAACTTCTCAAGTTGACACAATGCATCAACCAACCATAGCAATCATTTAGATCCATCTCCTTTGTAGCAGTTGTGTGTAGAAAGGCAGTGAAAATATTCTCCTACAGTTGATGTTCTTAAGCTTAATTGCACAGAAAACTTAAAAATTGTCTTAGATATACCAGGCTCAATTCCTAATACCACTAAAAAAAATTCAGATGATTTTCTTGTGCAGTTGGAGTTAAAATCCATTGTCTTAGGTCAATGTGTCTTAGCGTTGACACTATCGACATTTGGGGACAGATAATTCTTTGAAGGAGGGGCTTTCCCTTGTATTGCAAGATGTTTAGCAGCTTCTGTGGAATCCACCCTATATATGTCAGCAGAATATCTCTGCCATAGAAGTGACAATCAAATGTCTACAACCCAACTGTCCAGGGCTTCTCAGGTTACCTTGACTCGCAATTGGACCCACTTACAAACTTAGAATACAAGTTTCAGAAAACAATCTTTATTCTTAGTGTGAGTGACACACTCAGATTTTTCTGGCCCCCTCCATCCTTTTCTGTTTCTTTTTTGTTCTCTAATACTGCTTATGAATTACGAACCTTCCCATCAGTCTCTAAGCTTCTCCCTTCTGACTTCTGCCTAACAATTTCATCAGAACTGCGGAAGCTCTCCAGTGATCCCCTCCTCCAAGAGTCCCGTTGCAGTCCTCAGCTTACCCACACTCTCTGTGGCAGGTATAAGACAGAGTTGACCGTGTCTTCTCCAAAATAGTCTCTTTTCTTACTTCCCTCACATTGTACCCTTTGGTCATCCTCTCCCTGGGTTTGTTCCTGTTCCTGTTCTTCACTTGATCTTTACATTGCAAAGATTCTCCCTTTCTCTCTGTAATCTTTCCTATCCTATACCTCTCAGTACCAACTATATGCCATTGGCTCCCAAATTTATGTTCAACCCAGACCTCTTTTCTGAGCTTGACACCCACAGATCCAACCGCCTTCTTAAGCTCTCCTTTGATATTCCATGATATTTCTTTCCCTCAAACCTTTATAATTCTTGTTTTTTTCTTCTCAGTAAATAAGGCTACTGACCCATGCAATTGATTAAGCCAGAAACCTAGCGATCTTACTGGACACCTCCCAGAAACCTGACTCTATCCGCTTGCAAAACGTGTCCAAAGCCTGAAAGTCTGTTTCTTATCCCAAGGCTGCCACTCTGTTCTGCATCACTGTCACCTCTGAGCACTGCAGAGGTCCCTGAATGCTTTAGAATTCTAGTCCAGTCCCCAACCCTCAGACAGCAGCACTGTTAAAATATAAATGTGCTCATGTCTCTCCTTTGAATGCATTCAATAGCTTCCCTTTGGGTTCAGCACCAAAGGCAAAGGCTCAGCCAGGCCTAGGATGCCCTCCACAACCTCAGAGCTTGTCCACTGGCCTGTCAACTCTGGCACAGCGGCCACCTTCTCTCAGCTCTGTGAACCGCCCACTCAACGCTTCCTCACTCTTCTGCCCGCAGCACCCTTTCCTTGCCTTTCAGGCCACATCCTCCACTCCTTGACCTATCAGAGTGGCTCCCACTCATTTGGAAGCCTTTCCTGTCCACCACCTCCCGTTCCAATTTAAATTACGCCCCCACTACACTTCCTGTTTCCCAGCATCCTCTCTTTGTCTGTACTGTACTGTGAGAGCAAGTGTCTATGTCTGTGCTCCCCCTGGAAATCAAGCTCTGTGAGATGAGACTGATGATGCTCCGAGTCTAGGCTAGCACCTGGCCAGAGGTCGGCACTTCCTGAATATTAACTGGATGAATGCATGAACCGTGTCAGCTACTGCAGAAAGAAATGGTGACACAGGGCCTAACTGCACAACTAAATGTTGAGGTCATGATGGCAAATTGGCACTGGTGTTCCGAGAAAACTGAATGCCAGTGGGAACATAAGAAAGTAACCACTTTGGAAGGGGCAGCAAGGTAAAAAGAAGTCTGCTTGGTTTTTTTTGGTTTTGTTTTCTTTTGACATGGGGTCTTGCTGTTGCCCAGGCTGGCTTCAAACTCTTGGACTCCACTGATCCTCCTGCATCAGCTTCCCAAGTAGATAGGACCATAGGTTTGCACCCTGAACCCCATTAAAGGAAATGTTGTTGATTAAACTATTTGGAAAGTGATATATATAATGTTCACATGTGTTATGCCATGAAGCCTTCTTCTCTGGACCATGCCCTGAGAAAACTCAGCCACTGTCCTCTCAGTGGGTGTCAGGTGCCTTTCTGGGCACCAGGACCTGTGAGAAGCAGCCACGTGTGACCATGTTGCTGGTTCCTCACTCCCTCAACCCTCTCACAACCACAGATGTTTCTGGTGTCCACTCATCCTTGTGAACACAAGCCTGGAGGTGGGGGGAGATGGCATGTTCTTTTTGGACTGTGTGTTTTCTGGTAAAATGCAAACATGACCTTTGAGAACTGCTGGCCTGAATCCTTGAGGGTTGATTCCACTTGGAACTAAGAATTTCTCTGTTTTCACTTACGCAATTACAAGAAGATGACAAAAGTCTATTTCTATAATGAGTCTTGAATGTCTTCTTCCCACGAAGTTCTCTCTTGCGCTATGAAATCTCAGTCAGTTGTAATATACTTGATGAACTTGCTCCTTTCACATGTGTGAGGCTGGACAAATCATTTTGCTTTTCTGAGCATGTTTTTCATCAGTAAAACAAATGAGGGGGCTGGAGTGGAATTTTGTTGTGGTCTAGAGTATACGCACATTCAGATGTCACAGGGGACTCTCCAAATCTGGTCTTTGGGGACAGGACCCATGCCTGTGAATTTTAAGAAGGCTCTACAGATGGTACTGATATACACTGCTGATGACTGCCTAATATATTTCTAATTTCTAAGATGTTATATTAACATCCAAGTTTGTTCAGTGTAAAATTTTGTCTAATAATAGTGAAAACATTTCCCTCACAAAATCTTGGTGCTGTGAGTGCATTTCCATTCGGGCTTTTCAAGAGAAATTTTAGATAGGGGACCAAGAGATGGAGAGCTGCAGAAGGGAGGGAAGAAGAGGATGTAAAAGGAACATATGTTCCGTACTTGTACGAAAGCAATCATGATGTACTGCAAACATGTACCGATAAAATTAAAATTTAAAAATCTAATACAGGAGAGAGAACTTTTAGATGAATCATTCTTTTACAAGAAAAAAAAAACTAAGTACTGATGCTGTATTCATAGATAGATAGATAGATAGATAGATAAATAGATAGATATCTGGTTTAGGATGAATACTACTGCACAGAACAAGACACCTTACTTAGGAAATGTTCTATGGCTTTAATGGGGAGAAAGCACCGTGTAGGAGTCTCCAAGCAAAACCACCTCGTTCCATTACCAAACCTTTAGATCTGAGAATTAGAGGAAAAGTCTTACATCAGGGATGAGAATGAAGAACTGAAACTTACACTGGAATTGAGAACAGAAATCGCAGCATGGCTGAAAAGCAGAACATAGCTTCGGGGGAATCGTCATCCCATATCAGAACCCGTGGGTGAGTCAGAAAGAGCCGACCAAGAGAAATCATCCGGAGTGGCCTCAGAACACAAATGACGAGGAGCCTTAGATTCTGGAGCCGAGGAGAAGGGCGAGAGCATTGTCAGCCACACTGGGGGAATCAAATATTCCACCTCCAGCCCTGGGATACATGGGTAAAATCCCATGCCCTCTGCCCTGGGCAAAGATGCTGCAGGACTGCAACTTTAGAGCTAGGAAATGCTTCCACCCTGTCAAAATCAAGCTTCAAAACAGAAATTGAGCTGAGGTCCAAACAATAGTTACCTTTCTTGTGTGCCCCAGTGTATGAGTACCATAGAGTTGCCATTAATCATTACCTTTGTCTTTGCTACTGTTGATTTTCTTCTGAGAGCCTTTTCACCTGCACTCAGTGGCTAAAGTGGAGATCTCTGGCATATCCTGCTTCAGTTACCACTTTTTTCCACTTCTCCAAGTAGACACTGCCTCTTCCTCCCACCATTCCGATGGAGAGCTCATTCATTCATTCCTTGGCTTCATTCATTTGCTCTATAAACACCATGTGTCAAAGACCCCTTTAGGCAACAGAAAGAGAACAGGGATTAGACAGATGCATTCTCTCCCAGGGACTGGGCAGTGAAGGTGAGAGGCAGATGGTAAACAAATAAATACACAAGCTGTCAAGAGATGACAAGTGCTGTGAAGATAAAAATAGTCAGTTAAAGGAATGAAGAGAGAAGGGAGCCAGGTGCTATTTGAGAGGGGGTCAGAGAGGCCAGCTCTGCATGAGCAGATGTGAAGCAGGAGTGTGGAGGACTTATAAAAGCGCTTTACACATGTGAGAACCTCAGATGATCAGCCAACTGGTTCAGTGGGTGGGGGTACTGTTTCCTGGCAGTGTAACCAACGTTAGGCTAAACCAGGTGACTTCCAAAAGACAGGCAAATGTCACCCAGGTCCACACCTCTGCTGATGAAAGACATACTGACCCAAAATAAAAACTGGTGGCAGTGGAAATGGGTTTCTATCCAAAATAATGGTTCTGTAAACATATAAAATTACTTAGCAGAAGAATAGACTGTGACAAAATCTAAATACCAAAGCCATACAACTGGCGTTTCCAAAACCAATCAGCCCTCCCTCATCATGGGTTCTGTATCTGAGGATTCATCCAACTATGGGTTGACAATATTCAGAGAAAAAAAATTGTATTGTGTTCTTTTGCATCACTCTTTTCCTTGGTATTTTTCCCTACACAACGCAGTATAACAGCTATTTACCTAGCGTTTGTGTTGAGTTAGGTACTACAAGCCATCTAGCAATGATTTCAGGTATGTGGGAGAACGTGCACCAAGTCAATGCAAATGCTATCCCATTTCATGAGCACTTGAGCATCTGTAGATTTTGGCATCTGCTTGGGGGAGGTGGGAGTGTCTTGGAACTGGTCCCCAGTAGGTACTGAGGGACAACTGTAGAGTTTCTCCTTATACATTATTGCTGTGGAAATGTCGAGAGGAGGGTTAGGGGTCCACAGTCCCAGCTATGTTCTGAGGTTCCATTGGAACCAGTCAGATACAGAAGGGTGAAAATACGGGTGCAGGGGGACAGTGACACTACAGAAGCACACAGTCTTAGGTGTGAACGGAAGCTGCATTGAAAGAACTTGCCCAAGATCACACAGCAGCTCACCAGGGTGAGAACTCAGGCAGATCTCATAATTAACTTGTAGGGATGGAGAATGGAATCTAGGCTGCAGGGGTTAAGGAGGGAAGTGGCAGCAGCTGCAGAAGAGCAGCAGGGGACTCCTTGTGGGGGAGACAGATTCATGTGCTGATTAGGCAATGATTACACAAAGGTCTGTGCCAGAATTACGCAGAAAGGGGCTGGGGATTTAGCTTAATGGCATAAGCACCCGCTTGGTAAGCGTGAGGTCATGAGTTCAATCCCTGGTACCAGGAAAAAAAAACTGTGCAGAATTACGTATGCATGCATCTGATGACATCCTGAAAAGCTCTGTGGGTTGTCCCAATGTCGATTTCATTATTCGACAGTACACTGTAATTATGCAAGATGTTACACTGAGGAAAATGGGGGAAAAGAGTACACAAGACTTCTGTTTCAGTTTCTTTGCTTTTTGTTTTGTGTGAGGGTTGGGGGAGCAGTTACTGGAGAAGAAGCCCCAGAAATTGCGAATGCTAGGTAAGCCGGTGCCACTGAGACACATCAGCTTCTTACAACTGCACTGTGAATGTATACTTACTCCAAAATAAAGAGTTAAACAACAGCGACACAAACCCAGGGAGTCAAAGCCTACTCCATCTAAGCCTTAATCATGACAGAAGGCCAGCTGTAGGTATCAAGAGAGTCTTTAAGCAACTTAGTGTCTTAAATTGTCTGTTTTCTGTGATGTTCTGTTTACCTCTTTCACCGACAAAGAGAGTAAATGCCATCATGATTTACTGAGTAGTTTGAATCCTTACTTTCTCAGAATGTAGTAATATGAAACACCCAGTTCACTGTCAGCATCCCAGTGCTTCTCAGCTTTGAAAAATACCTGCATTCCTTCACCAATCACCATTAAAACACAAACTTCTTTAAACAGAAAGGAATCAGAGAGGGCCAGGAGATGGGGGGAGCCGGTACTAAGGAGAAAGGGAAGGAAAGTGAAAAGAATTCAGATTTGTTGTGTACATGCACCAACTCACCATGATCAATGCAATGATTATGTCCTGCCAACAGGAACAGATAAAGGTTTTTTAAATTATTTTTTTATTTTTATTTATTTATTTTTTTTTAATTTTTTTTTTTTTTTTTGTCTTTTTCTTTTTTATTGGTACCAGGGATCGAACTCACGACTGCCTGCTTGCAAGGCAGGTGCTTATGCCGCTGAGCTAAATCCCCAGCCCCCTTAAATTATTTTTTTAAAGAAAAGAAATCAGGAGGCAATAATGATCCTTGATGGCCATCAACCCACTGAATTGCTCACATCTCTGCACCCCTGGAGGGCTGTGGGAAGAAGTACCACCCTTGCTCAGAGTTCTGGGAGACTTTGCTCCAGACCTGTAGGAAAAGCAGCTTTCTTTCTGTTCATCTTTAGTTGGTTTATCTGAAATTTTACTTAATAGGCTCTGAAGGATACAGTATGGCATTTTTTTAATATTTACTTGTGCTTAGCAATCTGCACAAACTGTCACAAGTCTGTGATCAGAGTGCCAGCCCACCTGCATTAACTACTACAGGCTTCCACTTCCCTTCTATGCTTGGCAGTGGCTGACAGCAGGCAGGACTCAGGGTCTCGCTGGCCAAGGGCTAGAGGTGGGTCTTGACTAGCAGCCCATGCATAGGGGTCCTCATCCCAGGGCAGCTATCTTTTCCCAGAGGCGGGCGAGGCAGACCAACAGACCCACAGAGAGCAGAGACTGTCATATCTAATCTTGAAGTAAGGTTGTATTACTTTTGCCATATTCCACTGAGGAGAAGTGTCATTAGGCTCAGCCCACATCCAAAAAGAGAGGACTGGTTTACAGAAAATGTGGAGATCATACAATTAGGAGCCACAGCTTTCAGCCTTTCAAGGCACTCGAGCATAAAAGGTCTCTCTCTCTCTCTCTCTCTGTGTGTGTGTCTGTCTGTCTTTCTCTGTCTCTCTCTCTCTCTCTCTCTCTCTGTGTGTGTGTGTGTGTGTGTGTGTGTGTGTGTGTGTGTGTGTGTGTGTGAAATGGCCCTGGAAGTTTTCTTTTGCAAGCATCTTTCCATAGCTTCCTCTATATCCTGAATCAATTCAAAATGTTTACAGCATTTTCTGTCAAATAAAAACATTACCAGGTGTCCTGTCCATTGTGTTCATCAGATCTCACACCATGCAATTTAACTCTTTCTCAAAGTCAAAATGACCATGAAAAGTAAATGTCTGAATCATTTCAGGATCTGGAGTCACGACAACACGGAAGGAGATAATCACCACCGTCACAGACTGACCAGAGACCAGTTCAAGCCTCTTCCATCTCGCTGTGGTTTACACCTGCTAAAGGTGTGCAATCATGGCTTCCTAAGGTCCAGTAACCAGGCCTCCCCCATTGCTCCCATCATTCTTCATTCATCTTGCTTTTGACAGGGAACTGCCACTCTGCTTTCTCAAACCTTGCTGCTGGCAGGCGGTCACGTCTCCTTTTCCCTGAACATTTCCCCTCGAAAGTCCCATTTTGACTTCTTCCTTTCATAGCCCTGCTTTATGCTCATGACCCTATAAAAGGTGTGACAGCCTGTGAGAGTGACTGGTGTAAGAGCCAGGCGGTCCTTCTCAGGTTTATTCTGTGATTAATCTGTCCCATTGAGCTCATACCTTTGTTTTTTCCTAACAAGCACAAATAAAGACACTCACAAAAAGGACTTGCAGAACTGCTTCAGAAAGCGGCAAGAATGATGGGATAAGTGTGCCACAAGTGAGTACTTTGAGGGGCTTCACTGCAGTGTACATTTTACTATAGTTATTTTTATTTAAACATTCACAATGAATTTTTCTGTAGCATAGCATGGGAATCTTGAATACTGTGGGTTATCAGTATCCTTCCTTAAAGGGTCACATGTCTTAGAAATTGAATGCCCAAATTCTTACGTTGAGGTATTTGGAGGTGGGGCCTTTGGGAAGTACTTCTAATTAGATGAAGCCATGAGGATGTGGCCCCCATCAAGGATTAGCGGCTTCACCACACTAGGAAGCAAACACCTGAATTTGCATGTTCCTACTTTCTGGCCACTGCCATGTTACATGTAGCAAGAGACCTTCTTCTGATGCTTACACCATGCCATCAGACTTGAGGGGCTCCAGAACAGAGAGCTAATAAAGATCTATTCCTTATAAACTGTCCTGTCCTGGGTTCTCTGTTATAGCAACAGAAAACAGACTAGACATCGGCAACCAGGAGGGTGGGGTTCAGGTCAGCTCTGGGGGACCTTAGCACAGGAATTGTGGGTAGTCATGTGTAAGCTCTGCCACCTGAAGACTCCTCTCTTAGCTCAACATGCATGTCTGTTAATACCACAAATATTCAGGAGAATCGGATCAGACTAGCCTGAGATAACAGTTCATAGCCAGTCAGCTATGGCAAAGAGAACAAGATGAGTGAGAATAAATCTGTGGAAGCAGCGCTCTCAGTGAGAGGGCAAGTGATGTGCCATGCATAACCTGGTGGTGCTCAAACAAGCATCTCCATCAGAGAGAGCTGAGAGCCTACAGCAAAGCGGCTCAACGGAGATCTGGAATGACCTGGGTACCCCAGAGGTAGGGAGAGGCATTCATAGTGCTCACATCACAGCCCAGCTCTGTGTCTAGCCCAGCCATGTGTCCCACACACATCTACATATCCCAAAGATGTCCAAAATCTCTGTGTACCACGTTAATGACCAAAGGAAATTTAGTGTCTTGCCAGGGTCATAGAGTAGCCAGAAAAAAGGTGTAAGCTCATGTTTTTATGTGCTGATCTGTACACAAAATCATGATCTCTTTAGCAGGCAAGAGGAAGGAAATTGTGAAGTCCCATGAGGCACTGCAAAGCATGAGCATCACTGGCTGCCATCTTGGCCTAGCGTTGGTCCTTTGAAATGTTTGGCAGATGCAAAA